GTGAATATCTATTTTCAGCCTGAAAGTCACTTCCCTGACCTGGGTCACTTTTACTCACAAATCTTTAAATACAAGATAGCTGAAAACCATCCTGCAGAAAAGATCTGTAACTTCAGGCACTTCAATGTGCAGCCAGCACAGCCAGGTTTTTTTCACTGAAAAGAAAACAATAAAACCCCTCAAATTTTCTTCTGTTTCCGCTTTATCCTGGGGAGACACATCCTCACTGGGCTCCTGAGCATTGCTGTGGAGCAGTGGGCTGCAACGCAGAGTTGAGTGGCCAGCAAAGAGGGACCGCAAGGCAGGAAGAGAAACTTCTGGGGCATGTTGTGAGGTCTGTAGCATGCATTTAGTGGGATTAACAAGCTGCCAAGGCACTGACTAAAGTGGCAATCCTTTCCTGGCCAGCAGGGCATAGAGCCCAGCATCCCCTCTGCAGCCTCTTCCTCCTTTCCATTCCCTCAGCACAAACTGAGGGGATTTCTGATAGATGCAGACACAGCTTAAGGGCACAATCCCTCAGGAATTAGGTTATCAGTGAGAGCTAGAGGTCCCTGCAGCTGGGAAGAAGCAGTGGTGCATGCCGAGAGTCCCCACTTCTCTGCATGATCCAGCTTAGACCCTGAGTAATGCAAATCCCCACAGTTCCCTGAATTAATGTCTGCTTCCACCGAGTAGAGCCCTTAGGAAAACAAAGCCAGCTTTAATGCAACAGTTGCTCAGGAAGACGAACCAAAGAAGATGGAGCTTTTTGGAAAATGCACCAAAATACCCATGTTATTTTTGGTCTGAATCTACTGATTTCAGGCAACCAGTTCCTTCTATAAGAGGATGGTTTAAAGAAGCCAGTGCCAAAAGCATGGCCCCTCTCCACAGGTTATAGACATGTCTTGGCTATGAGAAATGGTTTGAGTTTTTGGGCATCCCATAGCAACACAAGCTGAAGGGCTCAGCGAAGCCCTTCCATCACCCCAGGACACTTCTGGAGGATGGAAGGGGTTAGTCAGAGATGGCCACAAGCCCACCATGGCTGAATGTGCTGTGCATAACCAGTCTCATCAAAGAACTGCACTGGTTCTGCAATGAGGCCTGATGCTTACAGGTTCCCCACACTGGGCAAGTTAAAGCTCAGGTCTGCCTGCTGCCAGCACGTGTGAGCATCCTCACTGCCTGAGCCTCTCCTGGTGTTTCCCTGCCCACAGCAGACACCCTGACAGCAGGAGGTGACCAGCTGACATTGTCGTGTGATGGGGACTTTCCACTCAAAAATGTGGAGGAGACAAGGGAGAGGTGCTGGAACTGGTGACTTAAATTGGAAAGAGTAGTCAGAGATGGGTCTCTGCTGCAAAAAAGGGACTGCAGAGCCATCCTGCACCAGAGCTGCTGGAGTGAAGGGGCTCTGCCTCTTCTGATGTTTCCGTAGCCAGAAGCAGTGCTGCAACATCACCCCAGAAAGAAAGAAACCAGGGCCAAGATGACAGTGCATCCCAGCTCCCTGCCACGCCCTGCAACATTGCCAGTGCCTGGCTTGGCTCTCCCTGCTTGTGGGCACTCTCCCTCCCTGCTCCTGGGCTCTGCACCATCCAGCGGGGCAGAGGGCCAGGGTGGCTGTGCCATGGGACAGCAGCGTGCATGGCAGGCAGGGGACAAGCCTGCACAGAGCAGCTCCCAGAGCCCTGCATGTTGGCAGGGTGACAGTGGGGGTCAGGCAGCAGGGGAAGAGGTGGTGGGGCAGGGGGTGTAGGGGGCCCTACACACACAGGGCCTCTGGAATTACCCACACCGTGCTCCAGGCACGGATTAGCGCCATCACCCTCACCAAGCTCTGCAGAGGCGCATCCGCACCAGCCTCAGCTCTGGAGTGAGGGTCTGAACGTGCCTGGCTGAGACCTGTTCTGCCCCCGGTGTCAAACAGCAGGGACACCCCCATAACACGTCAGCTCAGCACCGCAGTGTCCCTGCCCAGCGGCAGGCAGGGGGTGACACTGGAAGCGACCCCACCACCTGCTCGTCTGCAGCCCCCGCGGAGGCGCGAACAGCCCCAAGGGCACTGCTGCAGGCCAAGGAAGGCAGGCCGGGACGCTGGGGCTGCACCCACAGCGGGCGCCGGGATCCTGAGCTCTGCCACATGTCACAGGGGGGTCTCCGGGTGACCCTGGTGTCACCCCCCCCCCGCCCTTCCCACTGCTTCACCCCAGCACAGGCCTCAAGCTGTGCGGGGCTGTTTTGGGGGGCACCGCTGAAATCGCTCTCCGGGAGCTTGGGAAAGGGATCCTTCGAGCCCCGGCTGGCGTCAGCGGGGCCCGCAGAGAGACCTGCCGGGGGTCGGCTGCCCAGAGACCCCGCGGTGCCTGAGCTTTGTTCGGCCGGGAGCCGCGGGGACAGCGGCAGGGCCGGGCGGGGAGCGGGGCCGGCGGGCACCGCCTCCCGAACCGCGGGGGCTCTGCCGGGCGCGGCCCGCCCGCAGCGGCGGCGAGAGGCTGCGGAGACCCGCGGGGCCGCTGCCCTGCGGCGGGGGACACCGGGGAGGGGAGGGCACAGCCGCAGCCACGGACCGAAGGGGACCAGGGAGCGGCCGGGCGCGGGGAGGACGCTTACCCAGCCTGCCGAAGGGAAGCCGGTTCCTCTCGCCCAGCATCAGGTTGAAGCGGGGGTTGTCCCTGCGGAGGCGCCGCCACTGCCCGCTGGCCAGCAGTAGCCGGCTCACCTCGGTGTACACGCTGCTGCCCTCGTCCCGCACCACGAAGGTGTACATGGTGGCGGGGCGGGGGGGAAGGGGCTCCCCGCCCTACCCCCGGCGGCTCATGGGGCCCCGCCGCAGCCCAGGCAGGGCCCTGCGCGGCCGCCGCCGCCCGGCCCGGCTCCGCATGGCCGGGGCCGCCGCCCCCGCCCACCGCCCGAGAGCCTGCCCAGGCGGGGACTGACCCGGAACCAGAACCGCCCTCCTGATCCTGATCCTGCTCCGACTCCTGTTCCTGCTCCTGCTCCTCCCCGCCCCGTTACGCCGTGCAGCCGCCGGGGGCGGGACCATGCGCCCGCTGGGGGCCGGGCCAGCGCTCCGCGGTGTGAGCGCGGCCGGGATCTGTCACCGGCCGGGATCTGTCACCGAGCGGGATCTGTCACCGGCCCGGGTCTGTCACCGACCCGGGTCTGTCACCGGCCGGGATCTGTCACCGACCCGGGTCTGTCACCGACCCGGGTCTGTCACCAACCAGGATCTGTCACCGGCCCGGCTCTGTCACCGACCCGGGTCTGTCACCAACCAGGATCTGTCACCGGCCGGGATCTGTCACCGAGCGGGATCTGTCACCGGCCCGGGATCTGTCACCAACCGGGATCTGTCACCGGGCTGGCCCCCGCTGCTGGGCTCGGACACCCAGCCGTGGGTGCCGGTGCTGTGTGCACAGGTCCCGGGGATGCAGCTCAGCTCTGAGCCAGATCTCCTTCCTAACCTATTTGACTCTTCGAATCAATTCTTCTCATACATTGCTACCTAGTTTGGTCTTTCTGTTTGTGAAAAGGTCTTCTTGTTTGTAAGCATCCTTCTGTCTTCCTCACAAACAAACCTGCAGCAGACCAAAGATAACTCAGAAATTCAAAATCTGAAAGTCAGATTTTCTCCCCACCACAAGTAAGGTTTGTCTTAACAAACTGATCAATAATGAAAATTCTGAGGTTTTGAGTTGGTTAGTGTCCTGTTTTTCCTACAGACACTGTATGAGTAATGACATCAGCATTGCATACTCCAGCTGGTTGCTATAAATCATGATATATTTCCAAGATATTATATATATCTTGGAATATATATATTTCCATTTTGCTGAAGGAAACACAGATTGGTCATGATCTGCACATTGCCTTTCCTTTTTTTGAGAGCACAAGGTAAGGTGTTAAGTGATTCATGGATAGAAAAAAATAATTTAAAAAATAGCTGCTGTCTTACAGCAGCTAAAAAAATTCTTCAGGCAGCTTATTTCTACTAGGAGGTGCTCTTGGACCTAGGATTGGATGTGCCTCTGCATCTGTTTTCAGATGCATCTTCAGTGTGTGTTCTCTTCACAGTGTGCATGGCTTAGCTTATAACACCTTGCAGCCCAGGGAGTCACAGAGCACCTGGGACTCAGATCCTGAAGCCACTCCCTCTTCCCAGTTTGGGTACAAGCTGTTTATCAGGATTCCAAATTTATAGATAATTTCAACTGATAGATGATTTGGTGGCTCATCTCTGTTGTTTGCATAATTAAGCACAAGAGGCAAAGACATTCCGTAAAGTTAAGATCAATGTGTTAGACCAATAATCAAAATGAAATCCAATAATGAACTACTCAATATTCCATGCAAAGTTTCCTGTAGCAAGGTGGATTTTGTATTTGGGATTTGTGAGGTTTTTTTTTCCCTATTGCTTGAAGTATATTTCTTGCATACACTCTAGATTTAAATGCAAAAGCTTTTTTCTTCTTTGTGTATGTAGGGAAAATGCTTGCAGTTAACCCATTCTCAATGGGATTCTTGCATGTGTTTTTTGCTGGCTTTGAGCCTGAGTGTGAAAACTGTCCAGACCTACAGTTTTATGGTTTAAAATAAACCATAAATTACCACCAAGTTAGATTTATTAGAGTTTATTTGGCTTTGCATGATTCACACTCATTGTCTTTCTTGCTGCATTGTTTCTCGAGGTGTATGAACCAATGGACTGTACTTTCTGTAAGGCTGTGCACAGATCTGAAAGGTCAAAGTCCAACAAGGCCAAAGACTGGAAGAGTTTAGCACAAGGTGCCTTTATTTCCACATCCTGTTAGACCTCTGCATCCTTGCTGCTGGCCACACTACAGAGCGGGTCAGCTCTGCCAGCTGGTGTCCTGATCTGCCTCCTTCCTCCAGTGTCCTCAGTTCCACTTCCCTTGGGAGTGAGATGGGTGGGCAATAAAGGCTCTTCCCCTGGCAGATCAGAGCATCGCTCAGTTGTGCAGCCCTACACGATGGCTGTCCCTTTGGGTCCCTCACTTCAGGAGAGCCTGCAGCGGCATGCCCTCGGGAGCACTGACTTCTGGTGGCACTTTTACTCTGGAAGGAAAAAAAAATCATATTTGGGCTGATGGACAAAAAAGCTGGAAGGCCAACAGCACCACTGGGTTGTCCCTTCTTTCCCCGCCACCCACAGACGGAGAATTGCAGGCAGCAGAGAGGGATGTCCCCTCTCCTCGTCAGAACCCACGTGCAGGGCAGGATGGAGGTGACTCACTGTGGCTTCTCGACGTCCTCGATGCCCTCGGGAAGGTGCACATTGAGCGTCTCCGGGAGCAGAAAGGCCACGGCGCCGCTGCACACTGCGACACCGCAGTATGTCACCTCGGGCAGGGACCACCACACCTCGTCCAGCAGGAACACCAGCGGGGCCAGGGCCCCTCCCAGGCGTGCCATGAAGGAGGTGTACCCCATCCCATTCTGCCTGGAAAGGTGCAGACCAACATGGGAAAGAGAGGACTACTTGTGTCATGTCAGACCTCTGCCCTTTTCCCCGCAATTTTCTCTAAGTGCTGAGGTTTTTCTTCCCCTGGCTTTTCCCTCTTTTTTCTTTTCTTTCTTCATATATTCCTAAAATCATCATATTTCCCAGAGATCAACTGCAGCTGCTGTGAGAAATACAATTACATCTATTATGAGAAAGAAGCTGCAGTTTCACACTAAGATACCTGCGCTAAAGCTGTTTCCACTTTAAAACCCCGAGAACATTTTCTAATAGTAAGACTAGTGAATCTTCCAATCTGCTTAGAGCAAATCCAAGTTCCTCCTTCTCCCAGGTACTTCTAGGCAGCTGGCATACGCTAGAGATACCTGTGAGCACTTTTGGTCCAAGGAAGGAGACTTTGGAGAGGAGATCAGAAATAAGACTTAATTTTGAAGGGATGAGTGGCATTTCACACTGATGACAAGGATCCCAGGACCTGCTTGTGCATATACAGAATAAGTACTGCAGAAGGAACCAAATATTTTGTCTTTGTCAATGTCTTTGAGCATGAAAGATAGAAACTAATCTGAGGTAAAAAGTAGCAGATCAGTGTGACCACTTTGGTTTAAATATGAATCATTCCCCACATGCAACAGACCTTTGAAAGCTAAAGGACTAAATGGCAGAGGAGGGTACTCTGGGCAGGAAGGGACAGAAGTGAAGTAAGCCACAAGCCCTGCTGTGATTCATGAGGGGTTTTTCAGACTTGCACAAAGAAATCAGTGAGGTGGTTCCTTCCACCAGACTTAGCTATATCCCAACCTATGCAAATGTTAAATCTGGTGTTATGTTACCATTACCCAGGTAACAAATAAGCTCTGTTTTTCTTCCTGGAAGGCTGGTTAATGCCTGCTTTAATATAATCCAGTGTCCAAAAGACTCTCAAAAATGTTGTAGTATGCATCCCTTGTAAAACTTGGTATTTCAAGATATTATTTTCAGGTTCTTTTAACAGTTCCTGACAGATTATCACAGGGAATGAAGACTTTACTAAGCACAGGTGTTTTATGGAGTGCAAAGATCTTCTCACACAGAATACTCCTCACCTTTCCATTCATCTTCCTCTCAGCACAACCTAACCACCCACAACCCAGGTTTAAAAAAAAAAAAGGACGGCTTTTTGCCTCTCTCTTGTGAGTATATGAAATCCCTAGAACCTGCTAGTTCCAGAGGCAAGGGGCCAGTGCTGCAGTGTAGTCACCAGCACATCCTGCTGTGCTGATGGTCAAGGCCTGAGGGCAGCACCCCAGCCAGGCCCTGGGGGTGTGCTCAGGTGGGTGGAACCTCTTACCTCAGAATGGTGGGGTAGAGCTCTGAGGTGTACAAGAAGACGGTGGTGAAGGCAGCTTCTGAGAAACCCTTGCCCATAATGGCCACTACTGAACGCAGGGAGGTGAAGGCTGGGGGAAAGAAAAGGCATTTATGACAATGAGCTGCCTCTAGGAAGAAACTTCCAGGTATAAGAAGGGAGAAGGTTCAGTGCTCCCCCAGAAAAAACAGGGAGCTTCATAGCCCTGGAGCTGCTGTCTCCAAAGGCTGGATCTGTAGGTTTAGTATTAGCCCAAGTGGGAGCTGAACTGATGACAAATGGGAGATGAACTGATGAATCCTGACAGTTCCCATTGGACAAAGTCTATAATTAAGATAGGCACTATGTCTTGCCATTGCTGGGCCCTTCAGCAGTCACTTGACAGTGACTGGAAACCACCTGCTGTGACCAGATATTAGGGTTAGCCCACATTAGTGACCTTGTCTCACAGACACCCTTCAGGTGGAGGACTTCTCTACATAGAATTGCCCATGGACAAATCCATGGCTCTCCTTCTCCAGCATTGCACAAAATGGACTCCCTCCCCCCTTAGCAAGTACTGTGTAGAGCTGAAGAGCATCTCACGCTTGGGAATGATGATGTTGGCTCCTATGCAGAGTCCGGTCAGGATGAGTGTCCACGCCTGGCTCTGCCGCCGGCCAATTCGGTTCACCAGCACATACATGACCATCTTGGCTGGAATCTCAATGACCCCGAAGACAAACTGGGAGAGGTAGATGCTGAGCCCAAAGCCAGTCAGGTTCATGCTCATGCCATAATAAGAGAAGGCAACACCAAACCTGCAAGGAGTGGGTGGAGATGGGACCGAGGGAAATCCCTCTGGGAACTGCAGGATGAATTCCCTGCCAAGAAGTCACACTGCTTACCACACCACACCAGAACACAGAGAGATCTTCCTCAGGACTGGAGTCCTGAACAAGCTGATGTAGGAGTAACTCCCTCCCATGTTTTTGTCTGTTGCCATCCTTGTGAGGGCCTGGCAGAGATGGAAAGAAAGAAATAGCTCAGCTGCTGCACCTTTAGGATGCAGACATGAAACCCCAGACAGGCCAGGGACTTTCCCTTCCCAACTTCAGATCTACCCTGGATTTTCCATACATTCCCGTTGCAGAACCATTCTCTGAGCATACATTGTCAGAGGCAATGTCTTCCTGCAACTTTACAGATTGTCTGCTATTTTAGACCTCTTTTTCTTCTCATGGCTCCTTCTTCCCTCTCACCTACATGCCCCATGTATCAGATAGGTCTGTAGTGAAATGGCAGATGGAAAAGTCAGTGTTGGCCAGTTCCACGCTCCTCCCCATGTGGCTGCCTGCTGTTGTATGAAGAGCTAACAGTGAGCTTTGTGCTTTGTTCTTAAGAGTGCATTCATTTAAAGAGTAATTATTTATCCATCTACCTATATAAATACAGAATACCTAAAAAGTCTGGCACTGAGAAGTGAGCCCCACCTGTAAAGAAGAAGAGAGTACTTGTCCAAAAAGCCTTTTGGCAATTGATTAGGGATAAGTACCAGCAGAGTTAATAAATTCTACTCACTGTTTATTTACTCCAGTGTCCAGTCTGCTCAGGCCTCTTGCCATGGCCAAAATGAGTGGAAAGACACTCCACCTAATGGATGGGATTTGTGGCTTTATGGGAGCTGAGCTGCTGCTTTATCTTTAGGGGTGAATTTCTGCTTTCTAGAGCAAATTGCCCACAGTGCCCCACACACTACACTGCAGGCTAAGCATTGCTCCAGGTATCAAACAGAAGTAAAATAGAGAGAGACAAAGTGGGAAAAGAAGAACGTGTGTCTGGATCTCCAGTTCCTTACCTCTGTTGAGACAGCAAAGTCTTTCCTTCCATTCATTCTTGCACATCTGAGCAGGTGCCTGTGGGCTTCTTTCACTTTGCCCTTGGCTATGAGCCACCGGGCAGACTCTGGGACCCACCTGCAGGTGCAAGGAGAGGAGACTGTTCCTGTTGGAGCTGCCTGATTTCCACCCCATATACATGGCTCTGGCATCTTCTCCATGAGACTTCTACCTCAGCTAAACATAACTGTGCTGCATGGCAAGAGAGGTGGGCCACCCTTTTGACATGGACATTCTCTTCTACCCCTTAAGGCTGAGCTGGTTGAAATTTCAAACTCTTATAAATTAAACTGGTCCCAGGGAGTTTATTTATGTGTTTATTTACACATTTGTGCTTTCTAGGACTCTTTAAACTTTGAAATTGTCAGATACTAAAAACCAAATGTAGAAAGGATTCAGTGAGCTCTCTACATACTTTGTTAGTTGCTAAAATAATTTGGTTTTCAAAATAATCAAAGTCTTATGCACATACAAGTGTCCCACTAGAATGGTCCAAGACCAGATCCCTACAATCCAATATTTGTGATTCATGTACCCTAAAGAAGATTACAGTAAAACTAAAGAACAACTGTTGTCACTATTCAAGTGGGAATTGAAAATCATGTGTAGAGTAAAAATGCTTGGAGAATTGGTCTTGTTGAAAGTTTTCATCTCCTTCCTGCAAGCTTACAACCTTGGGAAATATAAAGAGGGAAAGATGGCATTTTGCACTCATTGCCACTGTCTCTAGAGAGTATTACCATGTCTTTTGGTTGTCTAATGTCTCCACTGAGGTCTGACATTGTGTCAATAATATCTACAGAGTGCTAAATTAGATTTTAATTCCATACTTCAGAGACTTTCAATTTTCTGCAATCACCGACCTTATGGGTGCTTGAAGACTAGAGTATAATTTGTTGGAGAACTAATCTCCATAAAAGATAGTAACATAAGAGGAAAAATCAAATAGTTATGATGAAAAGGGTGGGTCCAAATGTATCTGTGAATTTCAGCACTTCCAAGGACTCAGTTTTTTATGGCTGGTTGTCCTAGAAAGAGAGCAAAACAACTTGAACTAAAAAAGTCAGCAGAACACGTATTTTAGTTGTGCTGGACTTGATTGGTGAAATACCAAAAGTTACTCTTTACACTGTCAGTGAATCAACTCTGTATTCTAGTTTGTATGAATGCATGGGAAAAAAAAAAAAAGAAAAAAAAAGGAAAAATTAAAATTTCTTTGATTAAATGAACCATCTCCCATTTTAAGACTCAGGAGATGTCTGGTATTTCTTAAATAAGGCTACAGGGGGGAAATTGCCCATAGAAAGCAGGTGTATTTGGCCCATCAGATGGTTACACAACTGAAAAAAGCCCTGGGAAGTGCAGCAATAAATGAACCTGACCTAGCCTGAAGGTGTCAGTGGCTTTCATGGAAAATTTTTTACCAAAAGTATCTTTCCTAGTGAGGTGTGGACAGAGAATGGATAAATTTTTTATCTTGGGCTTACTAAGGATTAAAGCCTGCATCTGGTTGCATCTTCCTTTATTGGAATCTCTTTACTCTGAGCCATGTCTGACAGAGTTGGAAGCAACAAAGCCTGCTTCCAGCTGTCATCCAAATGCCTTGCCTCCTCCTTGTCCCCAAAACTGTAACCTTGACTCCTGGCCTTGTTGGAGAGATGAAACCTGGGCCACTCCAGTTTTCCAGAGCTGCCATGCATGGGCAATCGAGTTACAGGACACAGATGAGTCCTGCCGGTCCTGAGGTTGCTGAGCGAATCCTAGGATCTGAAGAGGAAGGAAATCCCAGTGTGCTTCCTTTCTGGTGGCTGCACTCACCACAGGGAGACGATGCTCAGGAGACAAGGTCCTGTCACTGCCACCAGCAGCCAATGCCATTCCCGCACCAAGTACGCTGCCAGGGCCAGCAGCATGTTCCCAACGCTCCAGAAGATGCTGGACAGGATCCCGGTGAAGGTGCGGTGCTGGATGTCCACCCATTCCATCCCTGGAAGAGGGAGGCAGCATTCAGCTGGGATATGCAGGACTTCTCCAGGAAGGGAGGGCCTGCAGAGCTTTTTAACAAGGGCAAAGCAAGAGAACATCCCTGGTCTTCTCCTTCACAAAGTTCCACAGTTTGGACAATATTTGGAACATTTAAAATATTCAGCCACAGCTCTTAAGTTATTAAAAAGCTGTAAGCCATTAAAATAAAACTTAAAGAAAATAAATAGTGATGAACATGTGTTAAGTAACAGTGCTAAAACCACTATTGGTGATAGAGTTCTTTTAATTTCATTCAATAGCATTCAATTGGTCTTCTTTGTCAACCAGCCCATTTTTCCCTAAACATCTTGCCTGCACAATTTCCCACTTCTCTGTCCACTCATTATTTCAGATTAAGAAAATATACTGAGAAGAATTGTTCACCCAGAGCAGACAGTAGAACACGTGTAAAGCCAGATGGGGATATCCTTGTTTGTTTGTGTGAACTAAAAGCCAGTTTTCCTCTGAAGGTTTGGACATCTTGCTACAACCTCTAACAATCAGAAATGTCCCTCCCAAGCTCTACTATGACTTGCAGAAATCAACCTTTATAACAATAAACAAACACAGCAGGCCATGGGATTTGTCAGGTCTTGTGTGGGCTTTTCCAGTACTGAAGCCATTTTAGCTTGATTTTGGCTAGATCTGCAAAAATCCTGGAAATTTCTTCTGCAACAGTTATTTATTCTTGGGTACAACACTTTTTGCCAGAATGTCCCAACGGTATCTACAAAATTATCCAGTGCTTTACTGGATATCCTGAAATTAGAAGCTTGTTTTTATTATGTAATTACCTAAATTCTTCAGCTTCAGTTTTGCCTAGCTCTGTGTGATTTTTTTAAAAAAAAATTTTGGTAGTTCTCATTGTAAAATGAAGATTGGCAACTTAGGAAAACTGTGAGCAAACTTGAAACTGGGAAAGTAGAAACACCCTGTAAATGACACATCATCCTCTCGTGCTGAGGACAGGGTAATGCTGCTGAATGGTCCTAACAGTGTGTGCTTGAAAGGTGAGAACTTTTTATGAGTGGAAAGGGGCAGAGACTTTGGAATGTGGTTCTTATTGTGTTACTGATGATACTTGACAGGAATTGGGTAGCTTGTTGCAACAGAAATACTAACAAGTGGTTGTTGTATTTTGAGTAGACTTAAGTATTTATTAGACTAACAGCAAATTGTAATTTTGGGATCCTTGCAAGAGGGATATTCTGTAATAGAATTGCACACATGGCAATTCCTACCTGTTCCTACCAAGTCTGCCCTGCCTGGTAGACAAGTCCCTTCCCACACGCTGCCTGCCAGGAGCCCCCTGACAGCCACAACCCCCCCACACTCACCCAAAGGCAGGACAATCAGGGAGAGGCCACTCAGGGCCACCCCAGTGAGGGTCCGTGTGATGGCCAGCATTGTGTAGGACACGGAGGCGGCGCTCAGCATCCCAAAAACCACGGAGCACAGGAGGGACAGCTGGAGCATGGTCTTCCGTCCGAACCTGCCACGAGCACAGGCTGGGTTACAGTGGCTGGAAACCTGTCATGGGAGCAGGGCTTGAAACAGGCAAACCAGAGATTTTAGAGGAAAATTAAAGGATGCAGTATCCTGGAGAGAAGGAATTGGCTATGGATCAAGCTGGTAGCACAGTGGTGCAATCCCATGCAATGCCTGCCCCATAAACATTGGGACTCTCCAGTGGAAAGACCAGCACTGCTCAGAACAACAAATCTGGCTCTCCTGGCCAGCACCACCCCCAAAGCAGTGATGCCAGCTTGAAATCCCGTGTTGCTGTCACACCCTGCTCCCTCCAGCCTCAGTGTCCTTCTCCCATGGCTTACTCAGGACTGGCCACTGCCACCACTCTCAAGGAGGAGACAGAGCCATGACATTTTCACCCTGCTCCTTGGAAGTAAACAAAAGGAATCCAGTTGTCAGCCCACATGTGCAAATTGCCCTGAAATCCTAAGGGGTTTCTGAGGAATCTGCCAGGATGTTGCTCCCCTGGCGTTTCCTTACCCCATTGTCCAGAGTTCTGTGTGGAGAATGTGGAGAAATACAAAGCATCAAATGCACACAAATGAATGTGTATATAAACACACACACACTCTCTCAGAGACAGAGAAATATGTCTGCACGTATTTCTACACAACCTATGAAAATCTAAAAATCAAAATGGAGCACAAGGTGTTGGTCTCCTGATGAACATCAGCATTGAATGTTAGGGAAGCTTAGGCTCAAGCTGCAGTAGTAGATTAAGCCTGCCAGCAGGTGATGTTCAGTCCACAAGGACCCAAATCCTGCTCTGATCCCGACATTAGGGCTCTCCCAGTGACCACCTGAGAAGGATGGTGTAGGAATGATTGCTCCAGGGGAAAAAGTAGCATGCCAAGACATAATGCCACAGTAACATTCCCAAAAATAATAAAAAATTGCTTCATTCAGCAGCTGATGATTGAAATGGCAAAACCTCCCAACTTGTGGCTTGGGTATAGGGAGTTTGCCAGATCTGCTTTGACATTTATGCTGAGACAGTTTGCAAAAGACACTGTGATGCCCCAGGGTCAGAACAGGAAGCACCCAGAAACCCACCAGAGCTGGATCCAGTTTTCAATGGCTAACTGCCCAAGAAAGAAGATACATTTTTTAAGTGAAGATTTTCCTTGAAAATACAGTAAGGAGGATATCAAACCATAATATTTCTTGCAGGACTCAAGGCAGCTATTTAAGGAACCATTACTGGACTCTCAGCTAATGCACATTACTTTCCCAGGAAACCCAGGAGTGAGCAAGCAGGATTGTACTGCAGGATACAGGGAGGCTGCTAGAAATAATGCCATTAAAATTGTCTTCAAAGAGAGTGGTAGGAAAGCACAGCCTCTGAAAGGCTATAATTCAATAAAAGGAGCAGGCTGCACAAGCATAAAAATTAATAAAAAAGCCATTTTCATAAAAAATCTGGAAGTCTGCCAAAGCATCATTGAACCAATTCAGTACAAGGACAAGGTACAAAAGGAGTCTTTGGAGAAGAGCAGACAATAACAGAAACAATATATATGTATTTTTGCATACATTTGTTCACAGTGAAGGTTTTTGGAGGGTTTACCTGGGTAAAATTTGTCAGTAGAGTAGTTCTCAAATCCAAATATCTGTAATGATTTAGAAAAAAACTGAACCTGAACAGTAGCAAAATGCTAGATAATTTTACCCCTGGAGCACCAGAGATGAAATCTCTGCCTCACTGTTAGCCCAAAGAAGCAGGATCTCATCTTTATCATAGAAAAGGAAGGTTTCAAATGGGAAGTTGACTTTAAAAGGATTATAGGGGAGATCTGGGGGGTGACATCTGAGGTTTAACCTAATGATTCTTAATTTTCCTCTAGCCACTACTCATTGCTGTGTTGGCCTTGAGCAAAATTGTGTTTATCTGTCATAATGCCAAAATCTTCCTACTGAGTAGCTGTGGTCAACTCAGAGCCTCCATTTTAAACGAGAACTTTAAATTGTTTCTCTATTTTAGATTAATAATCTGCCCTGAAATTCTCTCTTCTAATTCTCTCATCCAGTCAGAGTCCTTTAGCTTCTGCAAAGTCTCCACACTTGGGCCTCATCTCTGCCAGACTCAGCATCAACTCCCCACTTGCTACCTTCCCAGATTATTTATAAATGTACTGAATAGCACAAAAATCCAAGCAGAGGCCCCTCCCTTGTCACAATGGAGCATTTGCATCTCCTCTCTTCTTCCTGGCTTTTAATTATTTAGTCATGCTGAGACCTTCCTTCTTCTCCTAGACCAGCTTAGTTTCTTAAGAGTGTTTGATAAGGAGACTGAGATGATGTCTCCTCTGCTGACGTGCCTGTTGATCGATGCAGAGGAATCCTGTACATTTGTAAGGCTTGGTTCTTTTGGCAAAACCCAGCTGATTCTTCACTGGTGTGTCCTACCTCCCCCTAGGGCTCTGGCTCCACCTTTCAGAGGAGTTTCTGCCAATTTGCCTGGTGCAGAGAGAGGTCAGGCTGCCTGGCACTCCTGAGATCTTATCTGGAGACCTTTTTAAGGCCTTTCTATCCCCAGGGTGCTGTAGGGCTCCAGGACAATGTCTCCCTGCTCCTGGCATTTAACTGGCATTCCTCTGGTGTATTTCTCTCTGCTTTCTTCTGTCAGCTTATTTCAAAGCTCCAGCTCCAACACCTGCCTCTACACATTCTCCCACTGTGAGTACAGACTCATTTATGTCTCACACTACAGTCTTTTTATTTCCAGATGCTCCTTTTATGCCTTAATCCTTTGCTGGCTCTTCCCCCTCACAATCCATTTGTGAAACAAATTACTTTTCATTTTGTGCTACCTTGTGAGACCTTATTTTCTGCCATATTTTGTCCTGCTCCTTTTCTTGATTCTGAATTTCTCTCCCTCCAGCTGTGCTATAAAACTACTGCAGATACAAAGACAAGGCACACAGTTTGAAAATCAGCCAGGTGTCTTGGGTCCTTGTAAAAGTATACCCATATGCCAATGGGTAACGATATGGATGTAAAAATTCCCAGCTGCAGCACTAAAGTCTCAGGGTCCTTCACACTTCAGGTTCCCCTCTGCAGTGATTTTGCAGCTTGCTGTACTCTAATTCCTCCCAGAGGAAGGAAATCAGGAAGCAGTTTTGCAGTAATGAATAGTGTACGGGGAATAGCACATCCCAACTGCGTGCCTGGACTCTCTGTCCTCTGATGGGCTTCCTGGTTTTGCTGTTTGTGAAAATATTTAGTTTCTTAACTGATGCCCTTTCTAGGTTATTACTTGGATTTATTTTTTCCAGGTTTATACGGTCACACCCCAACATTTAACCAGAGAGAGCAGATTTGCTCCTGTTTTCTTCATTTCTTCAGCTCTTCCTTGAAGAATAAATACCTCCCTGCCTGTAAAGAATCTCTTTTACCCTGATTCTCTAGGAACGGCAGTCAAATTGTGCTTGCTGGAGACTCTTTTGAGCTATGGCAAGCATTTGCTCTGAGCCCCTCACTTGGGTATCATTAGCCAATTGGTGTATAATTTGCAAGGAGTTAACTCTTTTAGGCTTTTTGTTCAGCTTTGTATCAATCAGCTTTCTCCATTTTTAGACAGTTTTCTTTTTATGAAACTGGTCTTATAGTCTGGATTTTGTTGTTCTTGTTTTTTATTGTTCCTGGAGCAATTCTGACCACAGTCAGCAGTGCATCTGACTCCTAGCCAAGGCCAGAGCTGCTTCTCTGATCTGGGAAGCATTTACTGGCTCACTGATCCAGGAAGCGTTTACTCCCCGCATTGCTTCCCAGTATGGCTTGAATCCCATTTCCAAACGAGAGGCTGGATTCTGCCTTTGCAATTGCCTTTTCTCCTTTCCCCACCCCTCTGATTGCCTACTGAAGGGCACAAGTTTATGGAATTCTTTCTGTGAAGCTGAGGCCCCGGAGGGAGGAGCAGCCTGGGGGGGCTCAAACCTGTCGGAAAGGTACCCGAACACCATGGCCCCCATCGTGACGCCGATGAAGAAGAAGGTTGCTGTTGCCTGGTTCATCCCACGGTGCTCGCACACGAGGTCCCACTGAAACACAAGGCCAAAATGACACTTAGTGCCCAGCTCAGTCTCTGCTGCCTTCTCACACTCCTTCACTCTGGTCAGACATTGTATCTTGAAGTTTGCATCTGCTGAGTCTGATGGAGGGCTGGAATCCTGCACTAAACTGCACGTCAGACAGTGCCAGAGTCCTGAGAAATGGAAAGCTGCATCTTACAAAAGTCCCAGTTATCCATCCCCACTGTGACAACCTCTGTATGAACGCTTCATAGAATCACAGAATCGTAGAAGATGCTGAGTTGGAAGGGACCCATCAGGGTCATTGCGTCCAACTCCTGGCCCTGCACAGGACACTCCAAAAGTCACCCCACATGCCTGAAAGCATTGTCCAAATGCTTCTAGAGCTCTGTCAGGCTTGGTGCTGTGACCACTGCCCTGTGGAGTCTGTTCCAGGGCCCAACCACCCTCTGGGTGAAAAACTTTTCTTTGATATCCAACCTAAACCTGCCCTGACTCAACTTCAGGCCATTTCCATGGGTCCTGTCACTGATCACCACAGAGAAAAGATCAGTGTCTGCCCCTCCACTTCCCCTGTGGGGATGTCGAGGACCCCAATGAATTCTCCCCTCAGTCTCCTCCAGGCTGGACAGACCAAGTGACCTTGGACACTCCTCCTATGGCTTCCTCTCCAGACCCTTCACCATCCTTGTGGCTGTCCTTTGAATGCTCTTTGATAGCTAAATGTCTCTTTTATATTGCGGTGCCCAAAACTGCCCCCAGCACTTGAGGTGAAGCTGCCCCAGTGCAGAGCAGAGGAGGACAATCCACTCCTTTGACTGGTTGGTGATGCTGTGCTTGATGCACCCTAGGACAGGGTTGGGCAGCAGAAAACTTCCCAGGGTACCACACATGAAGACTTCCCCATTTTCTTCTCCTGGCCTCTGCAAGACCTGCCCAGGTGCAAATCTCCCCCAGCTCCCTCTGTTGTGCCCCTGAGACTGCCCTGGTGAGCTGGGCATTGGCAGGGTGTCCCACTGCAGTGAGCTGTCACAGCCCTCAGCAAGCACTGGGGAATCTTGTGTTGATAACCAGTTTCCTTGGAAGTTGTGCAGGGAAGAAGGAGGGCAGAGGGGAAGTAAGGTCAAATACATGCTCTTAGTACTAATCTATTGATTTCTTACTGAGGCATTGGTTTGAACATATGAACATAATTTTATTTTCTTGAAAGTGCAGATATCGCTGATCTCTAGAGAATGCTGTGGTTTAAGATGTTACTGCAGAGTGAATTTTCTCTGTGTGCAAATATTACAAAATTTAATCATCAACCCAGACTTGCAGCCTCTCTGTTGAGGCCAGCCAAACCTTGAGCAACCTTTCCTGCTACAAAAGCAGAATTCCAGAGAAAGCCCCAGTCCCTTGAACAGGTCCTGAGGCCAGAGGCCCAGGGGAGCAGCATCACAAGGCTCCATGCTGCAGTGCCTCCTCTACCCTTTCTCTCAGGACTGCTTCACATCTTTCTCCCCAATCCAGAGCAGAAATACAGACCCAGTGCACACATGAGCCTCACCTCTGTGCCTGATGAAAGCAGGAGTGGTTGAGTGTGGGGAGGAAGCACCAGCTCTAGGCTAAGACTTGTCCCTCCTCCCACTGAGAGAACCAGCACTATCTTTCTAACCCAACTGTGCCCTTTTTCCCTGACCAGATTTTCCTTTCCCTAAGACCTTGTGTGATTTGGACTGTTTTCCAAGGAAAGTAAAGCATTAACACACAGAGGTATCACTGCTAGCCCTGGAAAAGTGTTTCAGAAGGGGGGTGGTTAATATTTGATGGGCAGGGACCTTTTGCAGGCTCAGGGTTAGGGCTGGTTATGAGCTCCATCTCAGTGGAAGACCCTCAGAGAAAACATTTGATTTGGCAGAGAGATATTGGTGGTAAGCGAAGAGAGGCAGCACAACCCTGGGGAGAAAAGGAGGAAGGTGAAGATCAGCGAGGAGGGGTGGCCAAGGGAATAGAAGTTATAAAGCATTTGGAAAACCAAGAAAGGAAATCAAGAGCTCATATGAAACCCTGACAGGATGCAATCCTGTGCAAATGCCATGTGGCCCACACAGAGAAAATCCTGTATCTGTGTCTTTCCCCTGCCACCTCACTCCCTCATGCGTCTCTCAATCATCTGGAGAAATTAAGATGATTATAATGAGAAATGTTGGCATTAATCTAAGCAAGAGGAAATGCTCACAAAAATAATATTAATAAATGTTAACTCCTAATACTGAGTTTCAGAGAGCTTCCCCCTCCCAGGACATCTTCTCTGAATAGGTCATGTCCACTGGTTACAATGCACAGATTCCCCTCTCATTCTGTGCACTCAACAAACACCTCTCCACCTTCTCCTCAAAGCACAGAGCTAATTTCAATTTTGGCTGGATCACAGGCCAGGAATTACCTGTGTGGAGATGGTGGAGGTGAACTGCGAGTGGTCATAGACCCATCCGTGCTGACAGGGCTGGATGATGGATTTGGTTTCTGGTTGCAGAGAGGAGTTGAGCAGCAGGTGAAACTGAGGCTGTGAGAACATCTCACAGGAGCTGAAAGTGCCATCAGGCTTCCGAGGAATGCTGATGAGCAGAACTTCCTCCATGGTGAGATTCACAAATGCATCGTGGTGTGGAATTGCACAGTGATGAGAAGGGGTAGCAGCAAGAAAATTGTGCAGCAGGAAATGCATGGGAAGGTTGATTCTTGGGAGGCAGAGGATAGCCAAAATCAAAATCTGGAATCTGCCGAAGCCCCCAATTTCCAGCAAGAGATCCTCAAATTTCATCTTTCCTGTGGAGTTTGCTCATTCAGAGCAGCTATGTACCAAGGAGCAGCAACATGAGCTTGAAAAGCAGCCTCTGTTCTTGGAGCTCAACTTCCCATGGCTTTTCATACAGCCACCTCTTTGGACTTTGAGACCTTGCTGAAAGGTGTCAAAAGTCACAGTGGAACTCTCTACTTAGGGTATAGACAAAGAAATTATCCTGTGTGCCCACAACACATCCCTTTCAAATGGACCCAGTGCAGGCACCTGCTCTTTTTGGAGTCTTTTCCTCTTGCTGTGGTTTTGGAGAGGGACATCTACATTAGCAAGGGAGGCTGTGGGGAGAGTACTGTGCGAGCACTCTCTCATGTGAAGGTTCTGCAGCAAACTCTGCCTGGTGTGAGCTGGTCACCAGCCAGACCCACTGGACCATGACAGAGGCCTCCGGAAGAACAGGGGTGTCCCACTGTGTCAGGGCATCCAAGGACACCAAGCTTGGCTGCTGAGCACCAGCTAAGTGTGTTTTGGTGTGGTTTGTGTCAAGCCATGCCCTTGGAGCTGGCTGAGAGGCTGCCTGCAAGGGAGATGTGTCTTAGGATGGATGCAAGCAGGGAGGTGTGTCCTTTGGGGTGAGAAGGTGGCTGAGAGCCACCTGCTCACCTGTGCCCTGCAAAGAATGGAAAAAATTAAAATGTTTCCCCACAAAGTCCTTTTCTCCACCTGGAAAGGTGTTTTCCCAGGAGGGAAGGAGGCAAGGAGTTGATGAAAGCTGCAGAGCTGGCAGGAAGAGAGGATGCACCTGTCACTCTTGGGGCCACGACATACTCTGCAGAGTCCAGCCCTGTGCTGGTGTGCTCTGGGGACCGATGTGACAGCCAAAGGAGTGAATGTGCAACACCTGACGGGGCCAAAGGTGCTGCTGCCTCTGCTGCACAGACTGGGGATGAGATTGGGGCAGTTAAATACAAAGTAGTGGGAGAAGGGGCTGACTCTGCCTGGGGTCCCTGCAGGACCTTCTCCTGCAAGTCCCTTCACACCCTCCTCACACCTGGGGACAAGAATGAGCCTGCCTCCCTAGCAGCAAGTGCTCTGGGCAGGCTGGGCCCATGGAATAACACATCCCAGAAGGTTGTGTGCTAAGCTCAGGGGGCAGAACATCACACAGCAAGCAGGGGCAGCACCCTGCAAAGGCTACAACTGAAGAAGTAGAGCAGTGGAGCTGCTGAGAACTTGCTCTAAGTTATCTCCCACTGCATTTTCACCCTCTGTACCTCTCTCCGTGTCATCTGTGCCCTCTCTCCTCCACCAGCCCCGTGCTTTTGAGTGTTGGTAGGTGTTGATTCTCCAAGCTGTTGTCCCAGGACATGCTCTGCTTTAAAGCAGCTCCAATTTGGCCATTCACCAGGAAAACAGGATCGTTTGGTGTTGGGATGCAGGCACAGCAAGAGTCTGAGCTCAGGGAATGTTGGAAGTGGTGCTGGCTGCCAGGTGCTACCAGGAGCTGCCTGTCTGCACTGCCTTGCATTGCAGCCAAGGGCTGGGGACATGGGGCTGTAGAGCAGCAGGTAGGGATGAGGACATCCAAAAAAGCTTTTCACAGGGCTCCTGCTGTGGCTGATGGCCCAGACCAAGTGTCGCCCAGACGTTGAGTGCTGTGAGGGCACAGAGCAGAATAACACCACGATCTGTGACCTTAAGAGACCTTTTCCCTTTTCAGCAGCATACCTGGCCACCCATGTTTTACTAATGTGCTGCCCCAGTGCTGGGTATGAGCCATTTCAGTGCTCATCCTGGGACAGGCACGAAGGAAGAACACAGGAGTGAAGTAGGGACACCTGACAATGCTGTGCCTTCAGGGTTACAGTTTAAGCTGAAGTTGAACTAAAGGACAAATTATTTTTTTCATCACCAGTCTTCTAAGAACAGGGAGAGAAACTTGATGTGCTGCTGAATATTTAAACTGCAAACAGATCCAGCCTCCCCATCAGAAATGAGATTATGGATCACTGTTCTGCAGCTCCCAGGGCTCCACTGCTCATACTGCATTGCTTAAAATGTACATGGCACTATGTCTTTAACCCAAATGTGCTCCTTTAACCAGTCACCAGCTTCAGTTAATGACCAACACATGTGCAAGGTCTGTGACTGACCTGACTGAATTAACAACTTGGTTATTTAGACCTGACTCAAACAGCTTGAACATGCCCAGTGAGAGCAGACTCCTGCTGCTGCTGTCACATGTAATGCTGAAAGAAAGAGTTTACTTTTTGCTGCACACATGTAACACTTTCTTTTGCAGTCTTTCTTGCTGCTCTTTTTCAGGATGCTAACTACTTGTTGAGAAGGTTGGATTATTAAATTACTTGGTCACTAAGGTGTTAGCTTTTGTTTCCAGCAGTAATTTCTGAACACTTACTATGGAGCTGTAATAGCTTAGATGGTGCAAGGAGTGAAGGAGCTGATTTGCTCCTTTAGCAATTGGAGCCACCCCACAGGCATCTCAACTGCTGCAGAGTAGCTGGAGATCTCATCAGTGCTTGCAGGCTGGTGCTTAAATTATAATTTTCTCCATTCTCTCCAAGATACTCCTAAGTGCCATGAAAATCTGTGTCCATCATAGCCACTGAGCTGGACTTGCTGTTAGAGGGCAGAAGAGCTTCTCACTGCAGCTTCTCACTGCAGCTCAGTGCAGGCTCTGATGCTTGCAGGAGGGAGATGTGGCAATCAGAGGGAGTTTTTCCATTTCCATTTTTTCTCTAATTTGTAAAGGCAGTTTAGACAGGGAGATCCCACAGAGCTGGCAGTGTCAGCTGAGAATTCCTGCAGTGTCAGTTTAAGGTGCACTGTGCTGCAGCAGCGTGCCCAAATGCTCTTGGCAGGATGTGTGCACACCAGATTTTGTAGCTCAGTTAGATAAAGAGAAGGTCCAGCCAACAAAGAGGTCCTGGGGCTCCTGGAGATCTTTCTTTGGTCATAGAAGAAAGGGAGTTTATGCCATTCTGACTTGGTGCCACATTAACAAGACTGCTTTCCATTGCTTACAGCTGTCTTGTGTGCAGCTGTTTTACTTGACTGCACAAATGACAACTGTTCTGTAAGTAGACTGGTTCTGGGCAAAGCTTCTTTTCTTACCTGTCAAAAATACAACATTGATTCTACCTTAGTGTGAAAGGACATGAGCAACTTATATGTCTTTTGCTGTGTGTGATTATGGATCCACAGCCAGCACTTGCTTCCCAGACAGATCCCACAGACCTGTCTCATGTCCATTCTTACCCCTTTCCCTATCTCAGGGAACTGATTTCATGTCATTTTCCTCTAACTGGTGCTGTTGGGAAACTGTAGTGGGGCAGAGATTCAGCCCAAATTGACTGGCTGCATTTTACTGAGGAAAAGGCAAACCCAAACTCCTCCTTCAGCCAAGGAAAGAAAGACACAGCAGGAATAAAAAGTCCAGACAGAATCAAAAGTTTTCAGGGGTGAGATTCCATCTGATTAAATCACTTTCACTTAGATAGGATAATCCTGTGTGAAGTAAAACATTGCCAGGGAACTCTAAACAAACCCAATGGTTCAGGGAGCAGCATGAGCAGGGAATGATGACCCAGGAGCTGGGGAGAGTCCAGGACCAGTCATGTCCTCCTCAACTGGGCACAGACTTCAAGTGTCAGCATGGCTGGCAGAGCCAGGGGTGGGACAGAGCTGATCAACAGCCCCAGACACAGTGAGAGGATGAATCAGGACCAGAGTCCCTCCAGAGAGCATGGTGTGGAGCATGAGAAGGGCTGAAGACAAAGCAAAATCCATGCAGCACCCAGGGCAGGGGGCAGGAACACATCCAACATATCTCAGATGGATGTGAGACACAGTCCTGAGCAGAAATGAAGTCCTGGGCCATAAGCAGAAGGTGCTTGGTGGTGGCAGGTCCAGGGCAGTAAAAGTCATTAGTGCCCTTGGGGCTCTCATTCCCTGAAGGGCCAGGGCTTTACATCACAAACTCAGGGAATGCTGCATGGGGAGCTTGGAGCAGGCACTGGCTGGAACAGTGTTTTGGAAAGCCTGTGCAGACAGTAAAGGTGTGGGAGTGAAAATACATACACCTGAAAATATGCTTGCACTGAAAACACAAATGGGGAGATGGTGAGAGTGATTTATAGGGAATTACTGAGTGGGTGAAGCACGGTCCAATGCTCACCTCAACAGTGTTTCTCTGCCAACGTGGCCATGTGCTTGTCAGGTCCTAATAGCTCTGCAGCTCTGTTCTGCATTTCCTCCCCTTCAAAATGGAAGGAGAGGAGCCCTTTTTCTTTACCCCAGAAGGAGTAAAGAAAAGCTGCAGAGTGTCCAGGGAAGCTGCTTTCCCCATATAGCACCATACCTTCAGTATTTGAACTTCTCTGTCTTCCTTCACTGATCACCTTCCTTTACTAATTACCTTGTTCCACCATCTTTCTCATTTAATCTAAGCATCTCCTAGCTCCTATCTTGGGTAAACAAGATTTCAGTTTTGACTTGTCTGCCCTGTGTTTGAAAGGGGGTCCTTTGCATTTTGCAGTTTCAGTAATACAGGAAATGACTCAGGCTTCCCCTGAATCAATAAGAAACTCACTCAATACTCCATCTCCAAGATTAACAAGACACCTGGCAAAGAGAGTAGGGCATCTGGCATTACTTTCCAGATGGTCTTCTTGCCTCCAACCTATTCCTTGTCTGAGGATGCAGTTTTTGTGACTACTCCTGTGAGATGCACTGTCCCAAGCTGGTTGCTTATCGACAGCTTTCAATTTACATTTCTGCTTTGGGGTTAAAATTCCAATGTAATATTAGAGGTCTCTTCCAGCCTGAATTATCCTATGATCCTATGGACATTATACCACAAGGTTTTGGGCTTGTTTAGCCTCTTATTTCCAAGCTGAGTTTCTACCTCACTGTTTCAGACATGAATTAGTGAATTTAAACAACTGGACTCAATTGTGTTATTTTCTTTTAACATTTTTTGTACATGATGAAACCTGTGTGGATGCTGTAAGTTTCTCATGGTCTCCAGGTGCTCTCTGCAACCTGACACGTTTTGACAGCTTCCTTGAAGCTACAGGCTTGAA